CCAGCCTGCTCAGACTGACCCCTCTCGCCCCGTGTCCCCTCCGGCAGCGCGGTCAATGAGCTGACCCGGACCTCGTCGGAGGCGCCGGCCCAGCGCGGCCCCCGCCGGCGCCAGTTCGGTGCCCCGGCTGCCCCGACCCAGGAAACCACCGAGACCCTGAGCATGGACAACCGCCAGCTGCTGGAGCACTCGTCCAAGGCCATCGCCGAGCAGGACGCCATGCTGGACCAGCTGTACTCCTCGGTCGTCCGCCAGAAGGAGATCTCCATGGCCATCAACACCGAGCTCGGTGCGCCTCCGGCCTCTTCCCCCCTGCTCGCCCCTCGCTGCCATCACACCTCGCCACGACTGACCATCCCCCTCCCCGCTCCTCTGCCGCCCTCCCACAGACACCCAGAACCGCATGCTCGACGACCTGTCCCGCGATGTGGACAGCACCCAGGCCCGGCTCCACGGCGCCCAGCGCACCATGAACCGCATCTCCTGAGTGCGGCTCTGCCGGCGCCCTGCCTCTTCCCACCCCCGGGATTTTTCCTGTCCTCGCCCGTCGCCCCTCGCGCCCGGGCTGGCTGGGGGAGCCGTTTTTATCGGGCAAGAATAGAAGAGAAAAATGATGCACACACACACACACACAGCTCGCGCAGGTTTGATATTCGGGCGAGGCAAAGGCCGCTCGTTCCCGGGCCAGCCCGTCTGTCTCTCAGGGCCACCCGGGATCGCCGGGAGGAGCCCCAGCAGCAGCAGCGACACCAGCACCGGCAAGATGGAACAGGGTCGGCGCCCCACTTGAAGCTGTATTGCATGGCCCCCCCCCCCCCCCCCCCCCGCTTCGCTGGGGGTGTCAAGGACCAAGCGTGGCCAGCAGCTGGACCAGACGCCGTTCAACCTCGGAGGTCGGCGTGCCGGGACGCACCTGCTCCGGCGATGGTGGCCCTTGGTCCACATGGTCGAAGGCCGGGTCGGCCGCGGCTGCCTGAGCCCGGCCGGCCCCCCACCCGGACCTCTTCCGGAGTCCGAACTGGGACCGGAGTACCTGCGCGCCACGCGCCGCCACGCCCACGCGGCACAAATGTCAGACAATGCATGAAGGGGAGGGAGAGGGCCGGGACAAAAAGCGCCAGGCGGGCAGCAGCCGCGCCAGGGCATCGGGGACAGGCGAGGAGAGACATTTCACATACCGCGAGCAGGGCCTTCCGGGCCTTGGTACGACGCCCGGCCAGGAGAAGGTGTGCGGCCCGTGTGGCCGCGAGCGAAGCCAGCGCCAGGGTCCCGCCCGACTCGCCCAGACAGAGGTTCAGCGTGTTCAGGGCCCCGGCCATGGTGACCAGGTGCCCCCGGAGGGAGGCCTTGACGATCCTCTGGCAGGAGTGCCCGACCGCCAGCTGGGCCGTGGCCAAAGAGGCAAGCCACTGTGCGTATGTGTATGTGTGTGTGCGTGGTTGCGGATGTGCGGGGGGCGGATGGATGGGTGGGCGCAATGCACGCGCACGTGTGCCGGGGCGGGAGGCGGAAAAAAGCAGCGAGGCAGGGCAAGGAGAGGATGGCGGGGCGCGTGTGCGAGCACGATCGGGGGCGGGCAAAAAGGGTCAGACACAAAAAAGAATTTGACGCCTGCGTGATTCGAACACGCGCGTGCAGAGCACACCAACTTAGCAGGCTGGCTCCTTAACCACTCGGACAAAGCGCCACTCGGATGGGGGTTCCCCTCGGAATGGGGCTTATCTGCATGATGCTCTCGCCCGGTGGAGGGGGGGGGGTTCCAACGGACCAGCAGGCCTCGCGGAGCCCCCTCCCCGCCTCCCTCTCCCACCCCAGGTGGCCCTGCACCCGGGGGCGGGCGTGTGTCATGGGCATTCACGCACCATCGTCACCAGGAGCGTGATGTCCGGCACCACGGCAAACGGCCCGGCCAGCTCGGTGCGCGTCAGGAAGTAGTCCGACAGGTAGAAGAGGGCCCGGTGCATGCAGTAGATGGCGATCTCGTAGGTTTTTTTCTGAATGCAGCACCCGCCACGGGGGAGGCCCAGAGAAAAGGGGCCCAAGGGCACGCGCCAGGTGTGAGAGGGGGAGGAGGCCGGAGGGTGGGGGAGAAATGCATGCCCCGCGGTCGGCGGGGCCGGGCGCACCGAAATGAACACCAGCGCGCAGCTCACCGCACGGAAGGACCGACTCAGCATCGAGTGGTCGGAATCCATGTCCAGCAGGTGGACCACATACAGCGGCACGCTGAGGCCCAGGGTGTCCGGCTGCACGGAGAAGTCCGACTGCTGCAGGGCCACCATGCCGTCGGCCGTGTCGTGCTGGGGGTTGGTGCTGCGCAGGAGCTCGGCGAAGCGCACAAACCAGGCGTCGGTCTCGGCCGACCGGCGAAGGACTGGCCGCCGAGCAGCCGGCCCAAGGGCGACCGGGTGACGGACCGGGAGCCAAGGAGGGGGGGGCGAGGGAAGAGGGAGCGCCAGACATTCGGCACGTCAGCAGCCAAGAAGGAAGGCCGGCGGAAAAAAAAAAAACCCCGGCAGCGGGAAAACCCAGCGCAGAGGAGCCCAACCCCCGGAGCACGCACGCAGGGCCGAAACCATGGAAAAGGCACACAAGTCGATGGCGCTCCGGATGTCATCCGATGCCAGGCACTCCTCCAGGGCCAGTTCCACCACCAGGCCCATGGATGGGGCGGCCATGCCCGGGACCGGGGTTTCATCCCCGGCCCCGGCCGGCGCCTCCATGCCGCCCACCGTGGCAAAGGAGTTCCCATGGTGCAGGCCGATCTTCTGCCGGGAGTGATGGTGCCCGGCCACCAGCGTCAGGAGCATGGCATGGAAGCGCGACCGAGCCGCCACACCGCGCTGCGCCGTGTCAATGGCGCAGAATTGCGACGCCCGCAGGTAGCCAAAGGCCCGGTCCAGGTCGAAGCGCAGCAGCTCCCGCAGGGCCAGGTGCGCGGCCAGCTCGGCCTCCGAGGCCGGGGGTGACCGGAGCAGCAGCATCTCGGCCCGGTCGGATGCCGCGCAGGCAATCTACCAGCCAAAGGGGGGAGCGCATGGTCGGTAAGTGCATGGGCGCATGTGTGCGTGGGCGCCGGTGCCGAGGAGGCAAGCGGCAGAGCGCCGTCCCCCCTCCCCGATGGGCAGCGAGCAAGTCCTCACTCGGAACGGGGGGGGGGGCAGACAAAAGGAAGGCCCGGGGCGCACCTCTTCCCGACTGGCAGATTGCCAGGCGACCGCCAGGCCGGACAAAACCACCGGCCAGGCATCCAGGCCGCATTCGCGCGCCCGGTGCCGCTGGGCAAAGGCGTCGGCCGTCATGGAGCGCAGGTCGGCCGCCTCCACCAGCGGCAGCCCCAGGCACAGGAAGGCCGACCGGAGCAAGGCATCCGCCGCGTCCACGAAGAGTCCCAGCTGGTAGAGCAGATGCGAGGAATGCAGCAGCACTTGCGCCGCGAGGCTGCGCGCGTCGCGGTCCGACAGCAGCAGCGGCGACAGATCGGATCCGCTGCCGCCGCCACCGCCGCCGCCGCCGAGGGCCTCCAGCGACCCGAGGGACCCGAGCGAGTCGGTCCCGGTGTCGGCAAACAGATCGCTCGAGAAGAAGGAGCTCGATGCCGAGGGGGGAGTCGAGGAGGATGCCGAGCCGGGGGCGCTGGGCCCCGGGGTGCCGGGCCTGCCGGGGCGCCCGGGCCCGCTGGCCGTGCCCCGGCGCCCGGGGCCGAAGGGCCGTCGCAGGAAGTCCAGCAGCCGAGCCAGCCCGCGCCGCCGGGGGGCCGCCGGTCCGGTCACCGAAGCAAAGGCCTCGGGGGACCGATCAAGCAGCCGGGCAAGGCTCAGCAGCAGCACGCGCTCCTGGAAGAACACCCGGCTGGCCAGCTCCGCCGAGGAGGACACCTGTGGCGGTGCATACCCCAGATAGTGGAGCACTGAATGTGCATGCATGCACGCAGAGGTCCACAGCAGCCACGCGCAGCATGTGCATCCATGTGCATCCATGTGTATGATGCGTGTGTGTGCGCGCGAACATGTGCACGTGCATGTGTGCGTGTGCGCGTGGGCGGAGGACAGGTAAGAGGGGCGCCTGGGACATGGGCAGCCAGCGAGGGAGGGAGAGACAACGTACGTAAGCCGGCCTCGGCCAGGGCACGATACAGGTCGCCGGCACCCTCGAGTGCCGACACGCGCTTGGCCATCCAGGAGTGAATGCGCGCCGGGCTCACAAGGAAGGTGGGCACCTTGGCGTCGGTGTCGGCCGCCGGGGGAATGGTGGCGATCTCGCACAGCTGCGCCAGGCCCAGCGCCGCCTCCGACATGCAGTGAATGTCGGCCAGGAAGAAGGACACAATTTCCAGATACTCGATCTGGCGGGGCCGGGGAACCAGCGGGAGTGGGTTACAACATGCGCGCGCCGGGGGCCACAGCGAAAGGCACACGCACCTTCTTCGGAGCCAAGTCCGTGCGCATATAGTGGAAGGCCACGATGGGCGCATGCGCGAATCGGCTGTTCTCCGTCAAACGCCGCTCGTAGTACCTGGCGCAGGCGGGTCAGTCATTTGGCCCCAGGGCAACGGCCGGGAAGGGGGCCGGCGGGAGGGAGGGGCATGGCGCCCGCCCGGAGGAAAGGGCACCGGTCGGGGAACAAAAAGAAACGCACTCCGCAGCGGCCAGGTGGATCTCCGCTCGCAGTTCGAACAGCATGACCCCATACACGCAAGCGGCGTGGGAGCTCGTCCGGAAGGATAGCTTGCACCGGGAGAAGGAGTCCACGCGCGCGACGCGGTCCTCCGCCGCCGGCGGACAGGGCCCAGCCTCAGGCACATCGGCCGGGCTGGCAGGCCCGGCCGCCGGGGCCACCGCGCTCGGCAGCCCAAGGATCGTCAGGAACCCCAGCCCATTGTAGCACACGGCCAGCGACACCAGGCGCAGGGCCACCAAATCCAGGCAGGCCGAGTCGAGGTCCGCCGCGCGCGCCACCTCATCGGCGGCCAGCGCTCGCAGGGCCGGGAAGCCACGCGGCAGCCCGGCATCCAGCTCCTCCACATCCGAGCAAAGCAGCGACAGGTAGGGGTTCGGGGTCTTGGGCCGCAGGGCCAGCCGGGCCATGACCGCCGCCAGGTCGTAGCTCGAGAAGGGCTCCTGGTGGGCAAAGATGCTGGCCACGCGGAGGATCGTTTGGAACATGTGGTCTAAGGGGGCGGAGAGGCGGGGGACGGGGACCGGCGAGGGAGGCCATCAGTGCAAAGGAACAGCGAATGGGCCAGAAGAAAGGAGGGCGAAAGGAAGCGCCGCAGGCAGCCCGGCCGGCCGTCGGCACGCACTCAGCGAGTCATACTGCACCAGGAGCGAGGTCTCCACATCCAACGGCAGGGTGTCGGCCAGGAGCGAGGCCCCGGCGGCCGCATGGCGGAAGCGCAGCACCGACCCCACGACATCCACGACGTCGGAGTCGCGCAGCGCATACCCGATGGCCTCGGTGAAGGAGGGGTGCCCGCGGGTACGCGCGAAGCTGGCGGCCCGGGGCAAGGAGGGGGGAGGGAGGACAGGTCAGCGGGGGCGGCTGTGGCATGTCCAACAAGGGGCAGGGCGAGGAAGGACCGGAGGGAGGCCGCCACGGCACGCACATTTCCAAACTCAAGCGGTCCTGGATGGTCCGGACGCCGCGGCCATAGCAGCGTACTGGGAGGCGTGGGGCCGAAAGTGGCCCACGGGGTTAGTATGCACCGTGGGCGGAGGGAGGAAAAAATGGAAAAGAATGGGCGAGAGAGAGAGCAGGGCGAAAGGGGGGGGGGGAGTGGAGAGCAAGGCTGTTGCGCACCGATGAGCATGTCACACTCCTGGCGCTGCAGCGATGGAATGGACACCCGCAGCGAGGGGACCCCGGCCATGTCGTCCTGCAGGCGGAAGTCCCGCTGCTCGGTCGCCGGGGCATCCGCCGGACCGGCCGGCTGCATCAGGTGCGCGGCGCACGGGATGCCCGACACGTCCGACGAGTCGGCCGTGCCGGTGTGGTTGTTGAGGCAGGGAACAAAGGAAAAGATCAACACACCGCCGGTCCGGTGCAGGGAGTCGGCATTCAGCGACTCGCCGGGCCCCGGTGCCCCGGGGCCGGACGGGTCCACCGGCGCCGTCATATTGGCCAGCAGGGCCAGCGCTCGGGAAGTGTGGTCATCAAGCCACTGGGCATCGTCGACGATGATCGCCTGGTGGGCGTCATCGGCCAGGCAGCGCGCGGGTCAGCGAAGGGCCGCCAAAAGACAGGCCGTAAGGGAGGGCGGGAGGGGCGCAACGGAGCGCAGAGGCGACACATAGGGGGGGAACCCATACGGCGCACGTACCACCGGCTCGAAGAGCGACAGCCGGGCCAGGATGCGCGCCAGCGAGGCCGACGAGGCGCCGATCGGGGTTTTGGCCGAGCGCGAGGGGAAGAGAATCAGCCCCAGGTGATGGCTGAGGTTCTCCAGCTCGGTGATCAGCCGGCGCTGCTCGGTCGCCGACAGGAGCCCCACCATGCCGGTGGCCTGGCCCGAGGGGGCCGCCTGCCGGATGCCCAACGACCGGGTCGACCGGTGCGACCGGTGGCTGGCGGAGGACCCGTGCACCGGCAGCACCGGCTCCGCCGAGAGCAGGGACTCCGCCCCGAAGAGGCGATACACGCACAGGCGCAGCCTTTCGGCCTCGCGCAGGGAGCCTGCCGCGCACGCGCGAACGGACAGCATCGCATAGTTAGCACGGCGCCATGCCCCGGAGGAGGGGGGGAGGGAGGGGGGGGGGGGGGGGGAAAAAAAGAAGGACGCCACCCGGCGCCCGGCCGCCCGGGCCCCAAGTCGTACTCTCATTGAACATGGTGTCCAGGGTGTCGAAGGTGGCGAAGGAGTCGATCGACAGGCGCCGGGCCAGGGCCGGCCCGCGCAGCGGCACCCCGGAGAACATGCCCGTCTGGCTGGCGGCCAGCTCCTGCAGCTCGTCGGCCGTCAGCTCCGAGATGCTGACCAACGGCGAGAGGGCCAGCGGCGAGGCGACCGCCACTCGGCCGGGCCCTTGCGGCCCCTCGGCATCCGAGGCCCGCCGCGAGCCGGGATTGGACGACGGCACGCGGGCCGGGCCCTCGGCATCCGAGGCCCGCCGCGACCCGGGCGGGGTGGGCAGGGCCCCGGCCGGGGCGCCGACCGGGCCGTGCCCCGGGCCCTCGGCATCCGAGGCCCGCCGCGAGCCGGGCGCGGTTGGCAGGGCCCCGGCCGGGGCGAAGCCCACCGTGGCACTGGCCGACGGGTGGATGCCCACCGGCCCGGAGGCCGACCCAATCAGCACCCCATGCCCACGGGCACCCGCCGAGGAGGAAGAGGGCGAGTGGCCGGTGCCGGCGCCCGGGGCGGCCACCGCCGCGAAGGCCGCAAACGACCCGGTCCGGGTGTGAGCACCCATCCGGGGCGCCGGGCCGGCCGGGCGAAGAGGCCCCCCCGGGCTGGCCCCGGCCCCGGCCCCGGCCCCGGCCAGGCCGAAGGTCGACACGGTGGACGCCTGCCGGCGCATGATGGCCGCCGCCGCCGCCGCCGCCGCCGGACCGGCCACCGGCGGGCCACCCACCGGGCCCTGGTCCTCGGCCGCCGGGATCAGCGCCGAAATGGTGATCCCCCGGCGGAAGGGCAGCGGATGTCCGGACCGGGGCCCGGGCGACGCGCCGCCATGGCTCACGTCCAGGCTCATCTCGCTGGCCGGCCGGCTGGCGAACGGGCTCGGCGGGGCCGGCCGCAGGAGTGACCCCTCCGAGGGCGAGGGCCCGACGGCCGCCAATGCCGGGGCCGCGGCGGCCGGGGCCCGGCCGCCCATCTGCGGCAGGAGAATCGCCTCCAGGATCCCGGTGTCGGTGGACCCGAAGAGCGAGGACACCGTGTGGCCACGGGTGATGGGCGGCCGCGAGTATGGTCCCCCCGGGGCCGGGGCCGGGGCCGGGGCCGGGGCAGCCGGGCCCGGCGCCCCGGGGGCCGGACCCGCCGGCGGCCCCAGCTGCCGCGCCGGCGGCAGGGCCGTCAGCACCAGGGCCGTCTGGCTGCGCTGGGCCAGCAGCCCCGGCGCGGAGGCGGGCATGCCCACGCCCCGGGGGCCATCGCCATCGGTGCTGGCAGATGCCACCGCCCCCTCGGCATCGGGGCCGATGCTCCGGCCGGACACCGCGGACGCCGACCGCGAGTGCGGCCCCGGCGGTGCCCCCACCGGCGGCGAGAGCGGCCCCGGCGACGCGGGCAGCAGCAGGCGCTGGCCCAGCCCCAGGCCAAAGGACGACACGATCCCCGGCGAGGCCGGCGGCTCGGCCATGTCCCCCGGCGGGGCCTCAATCTCGTAGTAGTTGGCGGTCTTCTCCAGGACGTGCGCCACCAGCGACCGGAGAAGTGCCCGTGCCGAGAAGAGCGGAGACTTGGGCGAGGCCTCCGACGGGCGGACATGCCTGAAAGCAGGCCGTCCAGAGAGGGACCCCGGGGGGCGGGGGAAGGCGGGGGGAGGGGGGGGGGGGCGGAGAAGGTGCGTTAGAAGGCGCCGCAGTGGGGGGAAGAAGGGAAAGCGCCCTGGGGCATGCGCTTGCCTGATGGGGGGGGGGGGGGGGGGCGAGGCACTCGGCAAAGGCCTGGCGACGCACAAGACCAAACACCCGGCGGCTTGGGCATTCCAGGAAAAGAGGCGCGCGAGGGTGGTCTTCCCGGAGCCGGTCTCGCCTTCGACGATGAGCGCGCGGCAGGAAACCATGGCCGGCCCCGGGGCCGGGACCTTCAGGTCCGGCCGCAGGAAGGGGACCGACCGGACGGCCGAGTTGATCAGCTGGCGCGAGAGACTGCAGCGGCGCCGGGCCAGGGGAGGCCCAGGAGGGAGGGGGAAAAGGCCGAGCTGGTTAGAGCGCTGCTCCAGGAGCCGAGGCGAAGGGGCGTTCAGACAGAGAGACAAAGAGCGAGAGGCGGCACGCGAGCAGGGGGGGGGGGGGTGGCCACATTACCAATCCTCATAGTAGCGGCCGACCACGAAGTGGTTCGGCTGCGAGTCGGTCGCCGCCAGCATGTCGGTCACGGTGGCCGGCGCCACGTCGGGCCCCGGCGGGGGGTTCTTCAGCAGCGCCGACGAGGAAATGGCCCGAAGAACCGACGGATCCACCGGGGCCCCGGAGATGCCGGGGCCGGTCCCGGCCCCGGGCGCCGCCGGCAGCAGCGACGCCGAACTGCTGACCTTCGTGCTGACCAGCCCCGGCGGCCGGCCGCGGATGGATGTCGCCCGGTTCACGGGCCCGGCGGCCAGCGTCGAGGATGAGCCACCTCCACGTCCGGGCCCCGAGAGGCTGCTGTTGCTGCTGTTGCTGTTGTTGCTGCTGCTGCCGCCGCCGCCGCCGCCGCCGCCGCCGGGCCCGGGGCCGAGAAGCATCATCCCGGACCCGGGGCCCGGGGAGCCGAGGCCCGCCCCGGGGCCGCCCTCGCCGGCCAGAGCCCCCTGGCCCTGGATGACCGATGCCAGGCTGGCACTGCTGGGGAAGTGCACCAGCAGCCGCTGGTCTGGCGCGATGGACCCATGGCGCACGCCGGTGGCGGTGCTGTACTTCCGCCCGAGGGGGGACTCACCATTGGGCCCGGCCGCCAGGCCAAAGGCCCCGGGGCCCAGGGACATCGAGCTGGCACTGGCCAGGCTGGAGGCCGACCCCTGGGCATCATCGCCAGGCGGGAATTCCGCCACCCCGAGCACCGGCAGCGAGGAGGGCGGCTCGCCGGGGGGGCCGCCACGCGGCGAGTCGTCGGCCCCCATGCCGGCCAGGGCGTCAGTCGAGCAGACACCCACGAGGGAGGATGTGGACGGTGTGAAGGGTGCCGTCGATGTGGCGGCGCCGGCAGGTGCCGCCGCCGCCGCCGTGGCGCCTGCTTCGGGGGTGATGGTGGCGGCGGCGGCGGCGGCGGCGGCGGCGGCGTTGGCGGCGGCTGCCGAGTCCAGCGCCTCGCGATAGTACGGGTGGTCCACGGCCGAGGGGGGCAGGATGCGGAACACCTGGATCGGCACGTCTTTGCCCTTGACGCGGATGTCGCGCGCCGGGCCGAAGGCAAAGCCACACTGGTCGGCCAGCATGGCGGCCGAGAGGCCGGCCCCGGCCCCGGCCGGCCCGGCCGCCGCCAGGGCCGTGGAGTCCGACGCGTAGGACTGACACGCGGCGAAGGTGGTCCGGTCACAGAGCACCCGCGGGAGGACAAAGTTCCCCGGGGCCGGGCCCTCCTCGAGGAGGGAATTCTCCCCCATCAGCGGATGGCACATGAGCCGCGCGGCCATGTTGACACAGTCGCCGAGAATGGTGTGGTCGCAGCGGCCGCCGGCGCTGCTGGCCAGCAGGCCGGGCCGGGGCGGTGTCGACCGGGGCGGGGGCGGCGCCGCGGCCCCGGGGGCCGTGCTAGCCCGCCGGCCAAGGGCGCTCGATGACGAGAGGTGCCCCCGTGCCGACCGGTCAGCCGGGTCGGCCGTCGGTTCGGCCGGCGTCTTGCCGAGGATGTCCGTGCCCACGGTGCCGGTGTATACGGTTCCGGTGGCCACACCGATGCTGGACTTGATGCCGCGGTGGGACAGGTGGCGCTCAATCTTGAGCGCCGCCTGCGGAAGGTCCAGGGGATGTCCGGGGGTGGAGGAGGGGGATGGGGAGGGACGGTGGAAGGGGGATGGGCAGGGACGGCGGAAGGGGGATGAGCAGGGACGGCGGAAGGGGGATGAGCAGCAGTCAGGGGGGGGGGAAACACATCAGAGGGGGAACACGTCAGAGGGGGAGAGCCCCAAGCCCGGCCCCGTTCATACACCCACCCACCCAGACGCGGATGAGGCACACCAGGGCCAGACACGCACCCGAACAGCCAGCACCGGGTCATGCTGGTGCGACCACGGCGGCAGGCCGAAGACCGCCAGCACGGTGAACCCCTTGTCATCCATCATCATCTGCCGGAGGGTGCCCTCGTATTCGCGAATGGCGCGCATGCTGGTGGACAGGGTCCGCTGGGCGGTCTGCAGGAAGTCCTCGGTCGAGCCGGGGACCACCTCGCGCCCGGTGGCCTCGTCCACCTCCGGCGGCGAGAGGTCCAGGCTGACGAACACCACGGACACCGTCCGGAGCTCATTCAGCAGCCCGCCCCGACCGTGCCGCAGCCGGAAGAGGGCACTCTCATTGATGAACAGCGAGTGGACATCGGTCAGGCGGACCTGCGCCGGGGCCCCCGGGCCAGGGGCACGCCGCGCGCACGGCCGCCGCGCAAGGACGCACGCGGCCGGATGCCAAGACCAGGCACAGTCGCCAGGCGGGCAGGCCCATCAAAGGGGGCATGCGGCCCGGGAGAAGCAACAAAACCGGTCGTGTGAGTGCCGCAGGTAGTGAGATCAAGAGAGGGAGAGAGAGGGAGAGAAAGAAAGAAAAAAGGCACAGAAAGGGCAGGAGGGTCGCAGGGCAGAAAGGCAGGCAAGGCACGCACTGGCCTCGGGACCGCGGGCGCCAGGGCATCCCCCGGCGGCTGGGCCGGCAGCATGTCTCGCACGGAGGCCGACGCGATGAGCCCCGACACCACGGCGAAGGGGCCCCCCACGTCGGTCGGCTCGCCCGCCTCCATGCGGTCCACCTCCAGCTCCAGGTCCAGGGTGTCGAGGGCGGCCAGCGGCGAATCGGCCGCCCGGGCCAGGACCCCGGCGAAGTCGGCCACCACCCGGGCCGCGGCCTGGTCAATGGCAAACTCCCCGCGCGCGGCCGCCTCCAGGGCCCCGCCCGCGCGGAACATCGGCACCCCGGCCACAAAGTACTCGAGGCGCCCGTGCAGGCTGGCGGCCGCGGGCCCGGGCCCGGGGGCCGGCTCCCCCCCGGCCCCGGCTTCCGCCTGCGGGGAGGGCCCCCGCGAGCCGGGGCCGCTGGACCCGGGGCCCGGCGCGCCGGCCATGCTCGCCTGCCGGCTGACGCCGGCCCCGGCCGACCCGCCCGGCCCGGCCCCACGCTGCCCGGCCAGCCGGGAGATCTGGCCCACATGCACATCGAAGACCGACCCGAAGGCCACACCAATGTGCATGCTCAGGGTGGCCTGCGGCCGGGGAGTGGGCGCGGCCAGAACCGCCCCGGGCCCGGAGCCCCCGGCCCCGGGGCCCGACACGGGCGACATGGCCGGCAGCGAGCCGACCCCCACGCCGGGAGCCCCGGCCAGCGAGGGCCGCGGCTGGAGCAGGCCCCCCGGGCCGGGGGTCATCGGCGGATGGCCGGTGCCCGGCGTCGCCAGCAGCCCCGACCCCGGGGACAGAGGCCCGCCCAGGCCCGGGCCGAGGCCCGTGTTGACGGACAGCACCGGACCCAGCCGGCCGGCCGGGCCGGCTGCGGCCAGCTCCACCAGGTCCGAGCTGGCCGAGCTGGCCCGGCTGGCCAGGGGCCGCGGCACGCCGGCCCCGGAGGCCGACCGCTGGAACAGGTGGCCCGGCGCCGGCGCCGGGGCCGGGGCCCCGCCCGCGCCCGGAGTGGGTGGCAGGGAAATGGAGGACCCCGTGCGGGAGGAGGGGCCGCCGCCGCCGCCGCCGCCGCCGCCGCCGATGCCGCCGCCGATGCCACTGCCGCCGCCGGGGGCCGAGGGGCCGGGCCCGGCAGGGTGGCCTGGTCCCGGGCCGCCGGCCGGCCCCGGCAGCCCGGCCGCCAGGCTGCCGGAGGAGGATGGCTGCGACGCGGCCACCACGCCCGGCGGCAGGTCGATCTTGTAGTCGCCCAGCTCCTCCAGCAGGGAGATGGATGCCTGGCAAGCGCGCAGGGTGACCAGGGCCCGGAGCCCGGCGTCGATGTCGGCTTCGCCCGGGGGGGCGCCGGCCTCGGAGAGCGAGCCCAGGACCCGGGCCACCCGGGCCCGGTCCCCCGGCAGCGGACGCCACACGACGATGATGGCGTCGCCGGCGAACTTGATGACATCCCCCCCGTACAGCAGCACCGTGTCAATCATGCGCGCCATGTAGGGGTTCAGCAGCCGGGTCAGGAGCTCGGCCCCGAGGCCGGCCCCGGCCCCGGCCTTCGAGGGGAAGGCATTGGCCAGCATGGACGTCAGGGCGCTGTAGCCGCTGATGTCCAGGATGCCCACCGCCACGTAGGGGACCAGGTCGATGCGGGGGAAGAGCGCCGGCGGCCCGGAGGGCAGGGCCGCGGCCGAGGGCCCGCCGGCCGAGCGCGCCCCCCGGCCTGCCGCCGCGGCCGCCGCCTCGGACACCGCCGCATCGCGCACGCTCCCAAAGAGCCCGGCCCCATCCAGCGGGAAGTCCTGTTCGCGCACATGCTTCGGCAGGAAGGGCGCAATCAGGGCCGACAGGTCCGGCGTGGTGCTGGCCACCGGCGCAGGCGGCGCCGGGGGCCCAGGGGGAGGGACAACCGTCGCGGCCTCCGACCGACCGCCGTCATCATCCAGCGCGGCCATCCGGGGCGGCGAGCACTCCGAGGCGCGGCACGGGCGGCGGCGCACACAGGCACACCCAGAGGAGCGGGCCCCGGTGGCGGGGACAAATACAGGGGAGGCGCAAAGGCACCGGCGAAAGGACAGAGCAAGAGAACGCCAGGAGGAGGAGGAGGAGAAGGGGGGCGGGGAGGCGGGGGAGAGAGAGAGGGAAGGCGAGGAAGAGTGCACTGCCGCCGAGCAGGTCGCCGATGCCCTTTGCCTGGGCCCGAGAAAAGGCCCCGGCCGCCCGCGCGACAGAGCCAGGGCGAGACACGGAGAGAGAGAGAGATCTGGCCCGGCGGAGAATGCCGGCACAGCCGCGCGGCCCCCAGCCTCGCTCTGCCTTCTCAGGGGGGGGGGGGGGGGG